GCAGAATTATCAGGGGATGCCGAGGGAACACTTTTTTCCTCTGTTCCACACATAAACCTTCTGGGTTCAGTTTTCTGTACATCTTTGGTGTTTTTCGGCAATTCCGTGCTAGACTTCTCTGTAGTGGAAAAAGCACTATAGAGATGCACAAACTCCCTCTGACTGACCAAAGGAAAAATTTTCTGCCTGCCACGAATCTTCCTGAAGATCTCCAGAGTCAAATCTAGAGAAGGGCATAAAACAACAGACACACTTATAGATAGAAAAAACACTTTTGGGTGTTACAACACATCAGCCTAATTAGCAAACATGTGCAATAAAGGGAACTGTGACTATGCCAGTTAAACACTAAACAAAATGTGAGAACATCTTTGGTGGAGTGGTATTAATACAAACATATGCTGAATTTGAGTTTGGGGCCTGCGAAACGTGCTGTTTGTTTTTCCAGAACTCACCAAGTGTCTCCACAACCACGCTGGGTATCACCTCCTTTAGCACCTCACAGTTCGTATGGAGAGCTGGATTGCAGTTCATCTCCAGCAGCCACACCTATCAGGAATGCACACACTCAATGCACATGCTAAACACTGTTTGCATTCACATTACCAGAAATGTCCTACCCACTTTGAAGTCTTCATCGACCAAGAAGTCACAGCCGATCAAGTCAAAGAACCCCAGGCGGCAGTCTAACTTAGACTTGACTGCTAAGAAGCACTGGCTCATGATCTGCTGCATGCGCTTCTGAATATCAGGGAGAAAGAAAGTTGTTCATTAGGCATCAGAATGATTTTACGACTTTTGTATAAATGGCTGGTTTGTTTCACTTCAACTAATCAAAGTTCCTCACTACTGCATATAGCTCAAGCTTCATTTAAGTCAAAGAAATGTGTGTGTGTGTGTGTGTGTGTGTGTATGAGACACAACGCCAAAAATGAACCGACCAATCTGCAGGGCACTGTAAAAAAAAAAAAAACCCATCACATGTAACATCTCATTTTAGCGATGAGATGATGCATCCAAACTTAACCACAATCTCAATTAGCTGCATGTGCCAGAAACCATCATTATAATTGTAATTGGTCCCTGAGAGCTACAACACTGCACTCACTGCAAAGGCGCCCAGCACCCAGTCCCTGGGCAGATCCTTTGCAGCCTGAAACCTGTCGTTGACGTAGGCGTTGAAGCTCTCCATGGACCACACAGTGTCTTCCTTCAGTTGGCTGTAAAGAGGGTTCTTCTTCTGCATGTACTGCAAACGAACAGCAGGGGGACCAGAGACACATGAAGATGTGAGCAGAGGCAGGTAGCAAGTTTGTGCCAAAACAAAAAGCTTGATCTGGAAATAATGAAGACATGTAGCGTAAAAAAGACAGACATGAGTGTCCCTCTAGCAATAATTTTGACATCAGACTGCTGTTTCCAGCTGAAACACGTTTAGCATCTTTAATATCTGATGTTCACATAAAATTCACCACCGAAAGTAAAACCTAAACTAATGTGTGATTCAAGCTAAAATACAAAATAAACCAAGGTTAAAATCCTTTGCTAGTTTAATGGTTCAATTACAGTGACTTGTGTGTTTTGCTAAATGTAGACAATAAAGTGAATCTGAATTTGATCTGGTCTGTCTGTGGAAATGCTTGTAAATAACATTTCAAAGACATACCGCTCTAGTTAAAACAGTGATGATGTAAAGTGTCATTTTGGTTTCTATTCCTATATATACATTTCTGCTATAGCCAGGACTCATTTCTTAGCATATACGGAAGATGGCACATTGTTTCAGGACACCAGTGTTTGTTACAAGCTCCACTGGAAGGACCTGCTTTCTAACTGCTTCCCCCATTCACCACATTTTTTAACAGCTGTCTGATTTCCAAGCAGATGATTGTAAAACCGTTTAGACTTTGATCTTCCAGTTAACCCTTCATATTCTCGCAGAGTCTATCTAGATTAGGGGTCTACCTGGTTGGTCAGGTGGGCAGAAAGGTTCTTGGAGGTGGGGTCATAGAGGTCACAAGTCAGTCGCACGTAACCATGACGGAAAAAGACCACATAAGGTGCAGTGCATGCGATGAGAAGGTAGGAGCGCACGTCAAACTTTTTCCCTTTCAGCAGCAGCGGGTTCTGGATGTAACTGAGGACAAATCGTAGGTCTGCATTCAATCGCACAAACACCTTCAAAGGCTGCGTTTGACAGCAAGAAGCTGAAGCTGACAGTAAGAAATGAATGACAGATGGTTGACTAAACAACCTGTAGTACAACAGAATTGTTTTTATGGTTCCTTATCATTGGCTACTGTTACTTATGTTCATGTTATTTTAGAACAGCACTGCAAAATGACAACTGAATCAGAGACCCAAAACTAAAGGTTTTTTGAAGCCTGTTGATGCTTTTAAAACCATGTGCCAATCCTAAAAACCAGGAATAGCAGGCACTCAAGCCACAAAAATAGAATAATATGCTTGCTCCTCTGGGAACTGCAAGTGTGGGTGATATTAATCTTAACATCCTGTGTTCACCAACTGTTGAACGATGTAAGCCTGAGGCTGGCGGTAATGCATTTTCCTGTTGAACCGGCGGTCCTCCATGTGCTTCAGCTTCAGTCTGAAGGCAGCTATGTCCTCCTTGCTTTTCAAAAGGAAGATCCCTCTTCCCTGGTTCATACCCGTAGGCTTACAGATCCACATGCGGCTCTCACTGTTGCTCACACCTGGCGACAGTGACAAAATTAAATTAACGGGGTGTCACAGGAACTGAGCTTTCCACCTGACAGTTTCCTTTTCTGTATTGTTTCTAACCCTTCAAGGCTTAATCCTGCATTGAGGCATTTGTCATTTTCACCAGTAAAATCTGATTCCGTGAAATCGTGCTTTAGTTGCACTCAAGCACAGTTGTGGGAAAACTGGATTGCACACAAGTGTGTTGTATTTACTTTTCACCTCTTTAGCACATGTTTAAATCTGAAATGTGAGTCTGAGTATTTCCTTTTTTTTCTATATGTTGTAGTGGAATATGATCTCTAGTCCACTACATGTCATATCATTATGAAAATAAAGACGTAAAAAAGCTCAGAACATATTGTGAACTGCAGTCAATAAAAATTATGATGCAAAATTTCAATTTCTAATTTTTTTTAAAAACAGTCAATACGCTGTTTTAAAAGTGATGCCAGCATCGACTGTCTTTAACTCTTACATGCACGTCTATTAGAGTTGGTTCTGTCCTTTTTTCTTCTTTTCCACAAATTCATCCATCACCAACAGATCTAAAGCAGCTGTCTGTATTCTTGTCCTGTTTACTTAGTGATAAACGTGTTTGTCAAAACCCGTGCACAACTACTCTCATTATGCCGGGTGCCGGTAATTACTACAGTGGGTGTTAAAAATCAATTTCATCCTCAATGCTTACCATGAAAATGTCAATTTTAATATTAAATCTATTTTCTTTAGCATTCAGATCCTGCAGCACCTCTCTCCTTGTGTTTGTGTCTCAGCCCTGCCCTCTGCTGACTCATCTCTATGGCAACAGCATGTTCCCCTGGTGATTTTATCAGGGCCTTATGGGAGGTGAAGTGCATTATTTTCCAGCGTCCACAGCCTCTTGATTAAACACTCACCAAGGCGACTGTTGTCTTAATGCTACGCAGGACAAACGATTCTCTTTCTCTTCAATGTTGGATGCGTGACCCAACATGCATTTCAAGTTTGATTGATCTCATTTTAAACATGCAAACTAAAGGATGTTCCAGTTCAACCAGTACTGTTATTGTTGCATCAAAATGCTAATGTGTAAAAGGTTGTTGTAGTTAGGTAAGATGTCAGTTACCCTCCTGTTGGGCAAAGAAAGCCTCTCTCTCTTCCCTCACATCCATGCGCAAAGTAGTGGGTATGAACTCTTCCATTTTCAGCCTCCTGTAAATTACAACAGAACAAAACGAACAAGGAAGCCCACATGGATGTCGGTGCCATGGATTGCGGGAAAACTGGCCTTGAGGCAAAAAAGAAAGTCAGGCCACAAACATACAAAATCTTTGGTGTACCACAGCAACATTCATATGTTCTGTTCATCCATCGTTTGCGGCATATGTTCAGATTTATTCCAAACCTCAGTCATACCATAATTTCAAATCATTAAGTCAAGCTTTACATATATGCAAATGGATTTTTCTGAAGAACTGAAGGAAGTTTGTAATAAATAAAAATCTAAAAACACACACATAGTCTAAAATATGGCATATTTCCTGCTATATACTGGTATAATAGTCCATTATTGCATATCTTCACTAGCACTGAAACATTTTCCAGCATTAGTATAAAATTCCACTTATATACATTTAATTCTTTTTGTAGAAACTGAAGTACTCTAATCTTAATATTTGTAACTATAATTTCACATATTAACATTAAAAGCTGAACAGCTGGTTAAAATAACTCAGTGTTCATAGTTTTTATCTCTAAGGTGTCATATCTCTAAAATGAGGAACATCGTATCTCAGAGCGATGCTGGAAATGAATTCATGCATTTATTACTTTTTAGGATAGACTATTATTATAATCAAGCTGTTCTAAAAACTTCCTGACAAGCTTACAGTTGATCCAAAATGCTGCAGTAAGAGCGCACACAGTGACTAGAAAGAGAGGGCATATTTCTCCCATATTGGCTTTTCTTCATTGGCTCCCTGTTAAATCCAGAATCAAATTTAAAATCCTTCTTCTCACATACAAGGTATTCATTAATCAGGCCTCTCTTAAAGACCTCATAGTACCGTATCAGTCCAATAGAGCACTGCGTGCTACGACTGCAGGCTTTCTTGTGGTCCCTCGGATATTTAAATGTAGAATGGGAGATAGAGTTTTCAGCTTTCAGGCACCCCTTCTGTGGAACCAGCTCCCAGTTTGAATTTGGGAGACAGACACTTTCTCTAATTTTAAGATTAAAACTTTACTTTTTTGATAAACTTTACAGTGAGAACTGGATCAGGTGAGCCTGAATCCTCCCTTGGTTATGCTCCAATAGGCCTATGCTGCTGAGGCTTCCCATGATCGACTGAGTGTCTTCTTCACTCACTATGTGTTTATACACCTCTGTATTTAATCTTTAGTTATTATTAACTCTTCCACAGCGTGTGTTTTGTTCTGTCTTCCTCCCCTCACACCCTACCAGTCGCGGCAGATAGCCACCCTTCCCTGAGCCTGGTTCAGCCGGAGGTTTCTTCACGTCAAAGAGAGTTTCCCCTACTATCGTTGAAGCGCTTGCTCATATGGGGTCATATGATTGTTGGGGTTTTCTCTGTATTATTATAGGGTCTTTACCTTACAATATAAAGTGTTTTGAGGTGACTGTTGCTGTAATTTGTTGCAATATAAATAAAATTGAATTGAATTGAACTTACAGAACTAAGCTTGATACAGAGGCCTCTGCGATGCACACTGATAGCTCTACAGATGCAGTAAAATAAAAAAACAAAAAAATAAAAAATGTATTGCATGTTTAAGAAACTGTTAGCTTTGTCCTTCTTTAGCTCCAGTTTTGGGGGGCAATGGTTGGGAGACTTTTTTCCTTTTCATACATGTTTTCCTTTTTCTTTTTCTTTTTTTCATTTTTCCCTGTAACCAAAGATAAAGTATCCATTTGTACATGACGTTATTTACCATAAAAATTAGGTTAGTATCAGAGTTTACATCTAACATCTAATACTTCCTGCTCTGACACAGATGTTTGCACAATAACTTTGCGTAGCATTCAGCATATCCCAATTATGAAAGTGAAGTACATTTTTAATGTTTGTGACTATAAGTGAAGCTTTTTTTAACTGCATGTTTCTATGAGCGTACAGGCGCTCTCTTTGCTTCTGTTTTTTAAATCTATTGTATTTCCTTGCCGAGTATGACGTAAAAAAAAAAATCAGGTTGTAAAATCAAACTAATTTACTATTAATAATTAACCACAGATCCAGCATATAACTGCGACACAGAGCTTCTGTGATTCAATGGAGAGGCTGGATATCTGATGAGGTTACTTGGCGTGTTTATTAAATTGTTTCACAGGCTGATATGGTTTTAAATCATTATTTACAGAGTGGGGCTTCTATTGAGCCACAGTAATCGTACCGGATAGAAGCTGGGAGATCTGACACAGCTGCAAAATTTGGTAACAGAGATATACATGTCTGCTTTTAAGAGAAACAACCATTTTGGATACGAGAGAGAGACAAAGACAAAGAAAAGAAAATAAATGTCCAGCTCACCTAAGTGCTTGACCATGGCTGACTCTGCTGCTCACTCGCTCGTACTGTTGGAGACTGCTGAGGAGACCGATCTTCGTGGTGAGCACCTTGTTATTGGGAATCTGGTACATCAACTGCCTGCCTGGGAACAAAAAATGAGGATTTTTTTTTATTATTAGTTTCCTTCTGTAAACAGAATACAATAAAACTTCTTTTCACTAAGAACAAACCATGAAATGTTAGTTAGTTAGCATGTCAACTTTTAGTTTTGTCTCTTAAGCTAAGCAACAAAGATTGCATATTTTTTTGCAGGGGCTCGTCGTAAACCAGCTCCAGGTGATATCCTCTGCATTCCCACTACCTTCTCTGAAGTTAGAGTACTGGGCTGGTGATTTGGTCTCGCACCACTTGAGATTGAAATCCTCCCTGTCCTTGTTGTAAATCCTCTTCCATCCTCTGCTCTCACAGTAATTGCTCACTCTGAAGGAAAAGTCCCAGAGGAAATCACTTAGACTTTAATCACACCACAAACAAGAAGGGGTCACATTAGAAAAGCTTTAGACTGACAAAAGGCCCCAAATAAAATACGTACCATGCTATTTTTTATTCAAGCATCACACCATACATTTCTCCACAACAGTTACTTTGAAATTAAATAATTCATACTAACATTTTAGCTCCGTTGGTTCCTCCAAAAAAGTAAAAAGGCCCAGGCCCCCTCGGCTCCTCTATCTGCCTGCCTGACAAGTCCTTTAACTTGGACCTCTGGACGGGTTGTGCCATTATACATGGACCTGATACACAAACACAACACATTACCGATTCATTTCTTTACAACAGAAAGGTAGAAGAAATAAATTCTATTCTATTCCGGGGAATATTTAAGTTGTTTGACTTATAGTGTTTTTATTTTATTAGATTAAAATGTGCAGACTTGCATTTTTGTGTGCTAAAATAAAAATCACCCTATGGACAGAATTTAAAATAAGGCGCCCTCTTTACTCCACACACACCTCCACTTTGGCTCTCCTGGGTGACAGACGATTGGGAAGATGTCTGTCTCTCTTTCCAAGTCTGTGTCTGTGGTGGCAGTGTCTGTCCTCTTCCTGGTCCCTCCTTCCTCAGACTTCCTGCAGGCCGGCTGCTTCCACAGGGAACTTCTGTTTCCTCCTTTTCTTGGCCTCGCTTCTTCTCCAGTCTGGTCTCTGCTGCATCCTGGCCATAACTGCAGGGATCCACGGAGCACTTTGATGACATCTCTTTGCTCTGGCGAAGGTCGCTGGGGTAATTTATTATTGATCCATAATTAGAAAGTGGGAGGAGCTCTTTTGATTCACAGTGATCCTGTTGACAGAGCGGAACAAGAGGAAAAGTACTACTGTAGAGTTTTCCCTGTGTGGTATGTGCATATTTTTTACTGTTATATTATTTGAGTGTCACACTGTTCATACTTCAAACAGGTTCATAATGGCAGAGAATAACTTAACTTAATAAATACTCTTTCTGAAGTGCATTTTAATTACGCATCAGCCCAAACTGCCAATTTAACTTCAATTTGTCAGTTGCTCTTTTAAAGTGATCTCCCTCCAAAAGCTTACAATATGATGACATGTGAAGTTTAATGTGCCTAATTATGTTATGCTGAAATTGCAGCATCATGTCACTGGTCTTCTAGAAAATGGTGAATAAAGAAAAAAAATGAAGTAAGCGTACCTAGGTGGCCTGCTTCCTGTACCAACAGCAAATAGTAGCAGTGGAAATGTGATACATAGTATGGCTTTACCGTTTGCTGTGGTTTAATAAGAAATTAGCTCTGTTAGTCCTTTTACTGTTGTTTTGTGTGAGTAACATAAATGTACGTAGGTATTTATGTTGGAAAGCAGGAGCAGAACTACTACAGCTATTCAAAAATAAAACGGTTTACCTGCAACTACAGCTTCACACACACAGACATCAGGGCTCCCTGAAAAACTTGTCAGCTTACTCTTCTTCTGCCAAGTGCACTCAACCTTATAGTCCAACTGCAGGGCCAAGACAAACAGTTAAACCCACAGACTGAAGGACAGACTCGACAGGGGCGCAATCACATGGTCTGTCAGCAGTTTAGTCTAAAGTTAGCCACAGTGTCGCACAATGAAAGCAAGAAAACCAACTAGTAATGTAAACAATCACCAGTTACTCGGGTAATGGGACCCTTGGCAACAGTTGCTACTCGTAGATTGAATCTTACAACACAAACTAACAAGTCAAGATTGTGTATCCCACACCAACCGGACATCTAAGTTTAGCTTCATTCATTATTTATTGCCCGTAAGCCTCTATTGTGTGGACCCTATGGTAACATGAGAGCACTGTGTCAATCAAAATGGATTTGCCAGTTTTCCAGGGTGGCCTGGTAGGTAAAATAGTGTTCTCAACTGGCTCAGTGTCATTAACATCTAAAATAAATCATTTCAGGGGACTTGTTTGCTTTAGATACACCGGTCTCCATCTTTTACATTGGGTTGTCTGTAGGACAGGAGGTAGAGCAGGTCATCTGCTGATCTGAAGGCTGGTGGCTTGAGCTCTGGCTACTCCAGTCTGGCCAAAGTGTAACTTGGGTCAAATTTGCGTGTGTGAATAGTACATAGCAACCATTAAGATGTAGAAGAATAAAGTGCTTATATCAATGGGTGAATAAGTACTGAGTAAGTGCTATATAAGACATCGTCCTACCTGTGGGCTACCCTATATCTTTAGGTCCAGTTTACACAATTTAAGTTAGAAATCTAAGTAATAAAAATAAACCCAAGTATCCCATTAAACTAAGACACAATTTAATGTGAACATTAATTTATTGTAAAACTACTTCATCCAAGGCGAATCGTTCTTGATACTTCCAGACATCATCATTAATCATAAAGTCTAGCGCCAAATCCAGCAGCAGGTATGCAGTTGAGCAACATAGCATTAGTCTGCTCGCATGGCAAATCCACTAATCACCTTCTGTCTCAGTGATTTGACTCTGGGGAAACACCCAGGCCCAGCTATGGCTGGCAATTATGCATAATCTTCTCTCTTCCTCCAAACAGCCTGATAATTGACAGGGGTGGGTACCTTTTAGACCCAGCACACATGCAACCATATAATTACACATACAGAGGGGCAACCACGAGCAACATAAGCACACTGTGAGCAGACATATGGACCAAAGTATTGTGCTTTTTAGAGCATACATCAAGTTTGGTTTGACTTACCATCTGTAACCTGATAAAAGGACAACCAAACTGTGAGTTAGCGTGATTTTGGCTCTATTGATCTGGTTTGTTTTTTTGCATCACAATTATCCTCTGTGATAAATCAAATGTAAAAGAAAGAAGTCGCCAGTCTGATCAGTTGAGTTATTTATACACATATGGCTGTAAAAGAGTAAATGCCCAAGTGCAAAATACCAGCTATAAGAGGGAGCTGCTTGGCAATAAAACTAGTCCAGCCACAACACCCCAGTCGTTACAAGGAGGCCTCCCATATTCTTGTTTAACAGAGCTTTGTGTGGAGCCAGTGTGAGCCACACCTTGATAAAGAGCCGCCATCTGATAGACACACTGTGCAAAGTGCTGCGTAGGTGGACAAAGAGAACAGGCTTGTTTTACAACCTCATGGTTCGCCATCTGCTAAGAGACTGTGTACATTTGTGTGTATGTGTGTGTGTCTGTGTGTGTGCTCATATATGACTTTTAGTGAATAAACTTGTGTTATTAATGTCACCAATTTTTTTATCCTGTCTTTCATTATTTATACCTGAATTCATATCTTTCTTTCGACCTCCATTTGTTAGTAAAGGGTGTGGGAAATATGACACTTTTTACTTTTACTTTCTTTTTCTTTCCATTAAGGTAGTTTAACTTTCTGTGGGTGGTGCTCCACTGATACTCATACTCCTGGGCCTTATTGTAAGAAAAAAAAACACACATCAGATAGAATATGCCAGAAAGACAGTGGGTTAGTGAATTTAAAATACAGGAATATATCGTTAGGTGTGTGTGACTCTTAGTGACTGTCCTATCTTGGGGCAGTGACAACTTAAGTTTTGTGTTTCTTTGAAGGCTCACCTATTCCCATGTCATCTCAACTGACTCAAACCAGGCAGTGCGCCACAATTACAGGGATGCACCCTGCAGCAATGGTGTCCCCACACAACCCATTATTTAGAGGGATTCTCCTTGTCAAGGTGTTATAGCGGAAGAAATGGAGTTAAGTTACGATGCAAAGAAAAGCTGGTCTGAATAGGGTCTCTCGCGCTCGCTGCTGCTATTCATGATTTCCTTACAGGATTACAGGAGCAGAGCACAGGGGGCTGTAGTATCGAGGGGCGACACTGCGTTCCCAGGGTCGATATCTACTTGTTCCCTCTGGTGACAAGTACAACACAGAAACAGAAAGACATCGAATTTCACAGAGAATAACAATGATATGGGAAAATGTGCAAGTGGAAATGTACATTTTGTCCTTTGTTCTGAAACAGCCGTGTAACAAGCATGAACACATGTGTTGCCTATATTGCTTTTACTTGTTAGTAAGTAAGAGTGCTATAAGTGTAAGAGTCACAATACAATTTTGTACAAACTTGATGATTCAGTCCTACCTCTTACATAAGAAGATCAAAATGTAGGATGATAAGAATATGTGTATTTGACTGGTTGTTGTTGTTTTTCCCTTTACTATGGTGAGTGATGTCATGTGCAGCGGAGTGAGGTGGAGAGCTGCATCAGGCATGAGAGCATACAGTTTTTTTTATAATAATAATAATAATAATGTATACTTTATTGATCCCTGTGGGGAAATTCCTCTCTGCATTTAACCCATTCACTCAGTGAAGCAGTGTAACAATGTAACAATGTCATTTTGATCATTTCAAAGTAAAAGTTTTAAAACTTAATTAGCTCTCCTGTCATATGCATCAGACCTAAGTTACTGTGCATGCAGTTCCAGAGTGCCTTGTTTAGAGATTTAGAAGAAATCTCCAAAGAATTCTAAGTTTGGGAACATAAGGTATAAAAAAATCATTAATTGTGTTGGTTACACCCTTTAAAGCTATGAGAAGACACAGGAGGACACCGCTTGATTTTTAAATGGAAAATGACTCATAAATAAAAACAAAAATCTTTGACAAGAACATGACAGTACTTGTTATGTTATCCTTTTATATTTCACTTTGTTGCTACTAGCTAAAGCTAAAACAGCAACTTCTAGTTTAAGCAGCTAGATTCATTCATTTGGTATATTTGAATCTAAATTCTGTCACGTTGTGAAAACGAAAATCTACCTGAGAGGCTACCAACTAATGTTACTTGGTTTATGACATTTAAAAGATTTGATTATTAAAACCCAACATTAAGACATTAAATCTTCTAGCTATAACTGAACAAGCTAACATTAGCGTCATTAACTATTTATTATTAAGTAAACCTTAACAATTATTTTTGCAATGTTTTGGGGGTTAAAGCATATCTGTGCGAATCAGAGTTCATCAACAGTGAGAAAAAAGTGACAAACAAACAAACAGCTGCTGCTAAGTTAGGCTAACATACAGATAGTTTCACTGTGAGTGTTTTATTTTTTTAATGTGCAAATTATGGAAGCTTGGGGACAATTTTTGGTTACTACTTTAAAGTTTTGTTTGGTATCTCAAAATGGCAAATGGCAAAAATAAGCTTCCACACCTTAGGTGAAACTACCAAAATTTCCACCTACAAACTTACCACCTCTTGTTAAGGGCCGACTTTCCTTTCTTCTGAGCTGTTGCTGCAGTTACTTTTCTTGCCCACAGGAGGCGCAAGTTTAATGTTTACTGCAGCACCAACAGTTGTACATATTAGCTGTCAGGCTTTCAGATGACTTCAGAAGCTTAACGTTAACTGACACCAGGCCCTTTTCTTTGCCCAGCAGACTGCCTGTAACCACCAGAGCTTCTGATAGCTTCTGTACAACTTGACTATGTTATGGCGTGCTCCTGTAGTATTTATTATATTCTTCCATGTTAAACTAAGTTAGCTAAAAGTTGTTAGCTAGCTAAGTTAAATATGTGTGTTCACAGCAGTGTATTTTGTGAATTTGCCCTGCAGCAGTATCCAAATTATGTAAGTTTGATTTGTTCTTAATAACAAAGAATATTTTATGGTTGAACAGACCAATACTAATGTTTGCATGCTAAATAGCTACTTAACTTTTGAATAAGAGGAGGTAGAAAATGATTTTTCATCAAGGTAGCAGCTTTGGAAGTAATATGACAATGCGCTCAAAAATAATAATAAAAAAAATTAAGGTATATCATACATCATTTAATCACACACTCAACATTTTGTGTTTCTCAATGATAGGAAAAACAAAAAAGCAGTATCAGAGATGTCCTGCCAGAGATATCCTGAGTAAGTAACGAAGTTAAAGCTATTTTGTGTTAGTTATTTACCTTCTATGGACCTGCAAACTCCATGCAGGTATGTATGGTGTGTAATAAGTCTGTCACATTTTATATGTCTTTATCTGCATTCTTCAAACGCTGACCTGACAATAAATGACTGATTATATTGCTGCTAAATTATGAATCAAATCTTTGTAAAAGCTACGATTATCCTGTCTTTAATGCGTTTTAGAATTAACCAAACAAAGATAGTGTAGTTTATGAAATAGATAGATGAAAAGATACTCCTCAGTGTTTCTAATGAAGGCATTTGCTCACAAATTGCAGCTTGTTGCTGATAAAAACAAAAACAGTGAAAGCGAGTATTTCTCACATGGATTAAATAAGATATTTCCTATAATCTAGCAATGCTTCTACCAAAACCTGTAATCAGCTCCACACCTTGATACACTCGAGTGTGCCAGCTTTTTACTCTTACTGTGCGTCAGCACATGTGCAGGTATGTCACAGCCGTTTAGCTCCCGTTGTGCTCCTGTTCCACTCCAGTGGATAACCCAGCTAAGTGAGTCTAGACTTCTCATCCACAGCCAACACTAATACAGGAATCTGGTTTGACTGCAGTAAGCATGCACAGACCAGCGCAGGAATTCTTTACAGGCCCTCCGCCAGTTAGTAATGTGATTCAGCGGTGAGACGTCACAAAGGGAGGAGCTAACTACAGCAGTAATTGTACTTAAAGTCTTAAATGAATTATTTCTGACACATTTTAACTCCGTGTCTTTA